ACTGTCTGTCTGATATTGGCTTATTTTACAGACTCTTCTATCTCCTTATGAGCCCAGCTTAAGTTTTCTGTCTTCCTACACCCTTACAGTTACCTCTTCCCAGTCATCTTCCAGGTCTTATCACCCAGCTGTCTTGCATATCTGCTTCCTAAATGAAGTGGCAAATTCACCCACACCTCTCCTTTCTGGAGATGTCTTAGGAGAAGTTAAGTGCCAAGTTTTAGCCCCTTCTGTATAAGTGTGTCAATAACTGGCTGTCTACATGCAGTGGCTGCAGGGTTGAGGGGATGCAGATCAAGGCTATCTCAGAGCCTGCAAGCATTCACGAGCTGCTAAATAATCATCAACATTCACCCTGCTCTAGACACTGCTGTCTGAGTTCAGCCTCCCTCTCGGAGGGAACCAGAACCAGCAGCAGCCCTTCCTTATATCCAACATCTCCTTCTGCTCCAAACAGCCTCCAGTAGCTTCCCCTTGGCAGGGCCAGCAATTATATCTGTGCTCATCCTGTCTTCTTTTCATCCTCAACAGACATGGTATAGAAGCTAGCGCTTCAGAGGATAAATGCCAATCTACGCCTTTGCTTTTTGAGCAACAGCTAAAAAGAATGACCATCCAAAGCAGTGAAAAGGCTAGCTTACCAGAGCCGGTGGGCTGTGGCTGCTCACTCTTCTGGGGGTTACTGAGCCGGGAGACAGGTCGAGGAACGCTGGCAGCTGGCAGCTGCTTTGGCACCGGCTTCTGACCTGAGACAAGTTTCTGTGTTTGTGAAGGGACACGGAGGGAGGAGTTGGAAGGACACAGGACCCGCTGGGCCTGGCCACTGCCAGGCAATCCTAGGTTCTGAGAAGGAATCTGCTCTGTCACCAAGACTCGTTTCGGACCGAAGGGAACTGTGGTCTGGGATGGAGAGAAAGCAGGTGTTATTGCTGAGGGTATCCTGAGAATGCAACCAAGTTTCCTTTGTAAATCTAACAAAACTCATAAATACCGTAGATATAAATGGAAATGGGGGCAGAGAGATGACTGAGCAGTTCAGAGCACTGGCTGCCCTTTCAGAGGACCTGGGTTCGGTTCCCAGCACCCACATGGTGGCTCACAACCATCTGTAACTCCAGATCCAGGGGACCTGATGCCTTCTTCTGGCCTCATGTGTCAGCCACACACGGTACACAGACATACATGCAGGCAAGCATTCATTCACACAAAATACAAACAAACAAACCTTCTAAAAAATAAAGTTAAAAGAAGGTGAGATGGAGCTATTTTAATGTGTCTGTGGCTAAAGGGAGGATGCTTCCCATTGTCACCCCAAAATCCTGCGCTATTAACCACTCGGGAACTAAGCCTCCATCCAATGATGGAGACACTGAACTCTGTAAAGTCCTGAAGCCAGGCATGCTGGCACACACCTGTAATCCAGTACTGGAGAGGCTGAGGCAGGAGCAGCACTGAGTTCTAGGCCAGCCTTGGCACAACTGTTACAAAAACTTTCTATCAAAACCTTGTAATGATTTTATGTTTAGGAAAAAGACTGGAAGAAACCTGTGGCTATTCAACAGTATTATCCTCAAGCAATTTTGCAAAACAGTCTGAACCTAAGGTTATGCTAGGTCTTCTTTCCCTAAGCTTGTTACTATTGTTACTGTTAATTCCCCTGCATTTCACTTTCAGAGTACTTATCTGACAGGGTTTCACTATGTAACCCTGGCCAGCCAGGGACTATAGAGAACAGATTAGCCTCTGTCTCAGCCCGCCTACCTCTGCCTCCCAAGTACTGGGATTAAAGGCTGTGCCCACCACACCCTACCCAACAGAAATACTTTTTAAGAATGTAATCTCAGCTGGGCGGTGGTGGTACATGCCTTTAATCCCAGCACTCGGGGAGGCAGAGCCAGGCAAATCTCTGAGTTTGATGGAGGCCAGCCTCCATCCTGGTCTACAGAGTAAGATCCAGGACAGGCACTAAGACTACACAGATAAACCCCATGGGGGGAGGGGGGGCCACGGGGAGTGTGTGTGTGTGGAGAAAAAAAAAACAAAAAAAAAAGTAATCTCTGCCCAAGGGTTAGGGCGGTTAGTGGCACACACCTTTTAGTCCCAGCACTAGGGAAGCAGAGGCAGGCAGATCTGTGAACTCAAGGCCAGCTTGGTCTAAAAAGCAAAGTTCTAGAACAGCCAGGGCTGTTACACAAAGAAACCCTGTCTTGAAAAGAAAAAGATGTAATCTCCAAAACTAAAATGCATAAGAGATTATTAAGAAGTTAAGTTTTCAATAGGAGACAGGGGGGACTTTGACAAAGAAGAAACAAGTGTAGGCTCCTGGAAGAGCGATCGATCGTTACCACACTGCATTATTTGTAAGTGACAGGTCAGAGTCTTGCACAGCTCTCAAGACCCACGCCAAGCACTCACTCAGGGAAGGTGGGGCTTCCTCCCACTTAAAGGAGAGCCTCAGGATCCACCACTCACTCGGAGGGAAGGAGGTTTCAAGTGCAAAGCCATCTCCTGCAGAAAAGGAGGCTCACCACCCGGGAGACCCCCAGGCAGGGCCAGGAAGGAACCTAAAGTTTCCACCCAAAGCAAGGGTGGAAAGAGTCCCAATAGCAGAACAATTTCCACAGGGGCTGTGCCCATGGCTCTGTGGATAAAGGCTCTTGCAGTCAAGTGTGACAACCTGAGTTACAGTCCCTGACCCACATGGTAGAGAGAACCCACTCCAGCAAGCTGCCCTCTGACCTACACTGTGGCACATGCATGGATGCACACAAACCAAATGCATTTCATTTCAAAATTAAATACAATCGTGATTACAAGTAACTGTTTACCTTAATAGGCCTGGAAACACAGTTTTCTTTACATCTGTCCATGTCACCTGAAGAGAGAAACAGAGCCTTTCATTTAAAGGAAGCCATCTGCTTTAAAGTGCTGGGCAATCTATAACATGTACACCTCATACTTTTCTTGGTACCAGTGAAGCAAGCTGACAAGAAGTTGATGTTTTACCTGATACGTATCCTGCACATGCGTGAGGTCCCTCCCACTCAATCACTGCAGCTCGTCACATCCTCTCTCATTCCCTTCCCTCCCCGGCATGTTCTTTCTGCTTTAATACATAATGTCCACCACACAGCCTGCTTGGAATGCCTCCTACCTTAAAAGCCTCATTAGCCCCACCGTTGCCTCAGGCCATGATCCCATCTCTCATCTCCCCAAAACAGCAAAGCTTACCCACTCTTCTCCTCCCCGCAAGCCCATTGGGCCCTTTGAGTCCCACTGCGTTCGTTGCCAGTCTCTCAGCTTCCCCTACCATGGCAAACCCAGCACTTACTCGATTCCCAGGGAAAAGGTATTGGCCAGTCCCCACTTCTGCCCCCTTCCCCGGTTTATCTATTACCTGGCTAGCTGTCACTTCCTACCCTCCTGGCTTGGCCTTAACTTCTTTCCCCAGACCAAGTCCTCCTCCTTCTCCTCTACATCAGTGACCTTCACAGGTCATGAATCCCATTCAGCTCAGAGATTTACAACTTCAAGTAAGAAAAGTGCTCATGACACAGCAGGCTTGGGTTCGGTCGGGCTTGGGCTCCCCTTTTCAGATATATGTTGTTGTCAGAGGGATAACAACTGAGCGTGTTGTTCAGAAGCATTAAGTGAAGGACCGGAGCTGCATCCCCCTCACCAGATGCCTGTTAGGAAATGGAGCTCCCAGGCCCAGACGCCAGCTTTAATAAATGACCCTCCATTTTAACTTCCCCATGATTAGCTGCACCAGGGTATCCCTAAGACATTTCTATTTCCTACATCTGTAGTGAAGCCAGGGTTTTGCTTGTTTGGGTTTGGGTTTTGCGGCAGTGTATCCCTGTGTAGCCCTAGCTGGTCTGCAACCCACTGTGTAGACCAGGCTGGCCTTGAACTCAGGAGATCCTTCTACGTCTGCTCCCAAGTTAAGGGTGTAAAGGAATTTGGGACCATACGCACGCAGCCAGGGCATGGTAGGCAAGCACTGCACTAACCAAACTACATTCACAGGCCCCACTTTTGAGAAAGGCTCTCTCACACTGTATATGAGGCTGGCTTCAAACTCAAGGCTACCCTCCTGCCTCAGACTGCTGATGTGAGCAACTACATTTGGTGTGGGGGGAGGGGATTTTTTGTTTTGACTATTTTTGAGTCAGGGTCACATGCAGTTCAGGCCGGCTTCGGATCTACTAAGTACTGAGAATGGCTTTTAACTTCTGATCCATCTGCCTCCACCTCCTCACTACTGGGATTTAAAGGAGGGGCCTACCATGAAGGTTTAGGCAGTGCTGGGGGTAGAACCCAGGGCTTCCCGGATACTCTACAAACTGAGCTTTAGCGGGTCTACGCTTTGAATCAGACCCTCAAGTAGTCCCTACATCAACTGCTCAAAAGGCTGCGGTGAGGGCAGCACCAGTCCTGGGTCTCTCTCTACAAGGGGGCTCTCGTTCATCGACTGACTCGTCGATCCAACCCAGGCCCCCGCCTCTCCACCCGAAGCGATCCCCACTAAGCCGCAGTTGCTTCATCCATCGGTTTGCACCACCACCATCAGTTTGCAAATTACTTGTTTAGCTGGTGGTCTGGGTCCCATTCCCACCAGAACCTAATGGCAAGGAGGGAAGGGGCCATCTGGATCTTTCCTACACCGAATGCAAACCCACTGAGACAGCCCACTACCCCAATGCCACTCAACATCCCCTTCGGTGTGCAGCGTCCAGGCTCGCCCTCGCCCACCCGGTCCCCTTCTACCCACCGGCAGGATCCTGCCTCTGACCGAAGCCTCCAAGCGATCCCGGGAGCTCAGCCGTTACAATTCAAAGGTCCTCCTTTTAAAATAGGAGTTAAACCCTCTCGTCCGAAAGCTGATTGGCTAGAGGCGAAGCGGCGCCGTCCTGTGATTGGCTCACCGTGAACGCGACCACAGGAAGCTCGGTCCGTGCCGTAGCTGGGGCGCAGGCGCACTGGGCCGCCAGAGGCCGGAAGTGGTGCGCTAACGGCCTGTCCGATCTGTGGCCGTTCTGTCGCTCGCCGTGCTCCCCAGGATCGGGCGTTTTCCCGGTCACACAGCGGCCCTTTGGGTTCAAGGTTGTCGCGACGGTGGTCAGCTCGGAGGAGGTGAATGAGCGTCTCGAACGTGCCAGTGAGTAAGATGGCGAGAAGGGCAGGCTTGCGAGTGAGCGGCAGGTTGCTCGGCGCTCTGCTGCGTGCCCTGTGCGCGTGCGCAGTGAGTGTGCACTCAGAGCGATCGATCGGGCACGATTCGCGCCTCCATTTTTCTAGAAGAGCGGGAGACCGAGACCCTGATCGGGGGTACGGGGTTCGGAGGGGGGCGGGCGTAGGAGGACGGGTTGGTGCGGTTGGCTGGGGTCTGTAGTGGGCTGCGTGAAGGACTGGAGCTAGCGGAGAGGATGGCGGGAGGCCGTACGCCCCAAGTCCGTGTCCCAGAGTTGGTCGGCCAGGCCTGCACCCCGAGCCTCAAAGGGCCTCGGCCCCGGCGGGTCCCTGCTTTCCTCCTGGGCGGGGTGGTCGCGTGGCTTCTCCCTGGGACCCCTGCATCCCCGGGTGTTGGCAGCCTTGGGTCGGGCTCTTCCTGCCTCGTGCCTCAGCGTCCCTTCCGGCGACCTGTGCTCCATTGGAAGTTCGGTGGGGAATTAAATGGAGGCTCAACCACTTTTTTTTTTCTTTTCTTTAAGTCTCGTGATACAGCCCCAGGTGTTCCCTAGCAAAGGTAAAGAGATGGCGGTAGGTCAGTGGTTTAAGCTGTGGGCTTCGGAGTACGTAGACTTGCCCTCAACTTTTGGGGCTGACTTTAGCTTGAATGGGTGTCCTAGATTCTTGGAACTCATTTCATCTCTGTTGTGTCTTACGCAAGGGTAGGTTTGTATACATTTATTTCTAACGTAAGTGCACGAATATATTGAATGCCTTCGTTTAGTGATCTAATGCCAAGTAGGTGCTTGGAATCGTTTCTGGCAGTAGGAAGTGCCTGATGTGTGTTAACTGTTGAGGACCCCCGTCAGTATGATGCTGTGTGTGGCCTTGTGGGTCTTTTTGTTGTTGTTGTGTTTTTGTTGTTGATTCGGTTGTCACTGAGTCTAGAGCGTCTGGCAGGCTGAGCAAACACTGTAACCCTCGGCTGTATCCCCAGGCCTACCTTCCTACTTGCTGTCCCCAGACTCCTGGAGCCTAACATCTAACCACACACATACTGATTATTAGCAAATTATGTACCCAAGTTGATATAGAAACTGTCACCTTTAGTTTTGTTTCATTTTCATGGACTGGAGAGCTTAGATATTTCCAAATAAAACTGAGAGCACAGTCTTCAGATCTGCATTTCTCATTTGTTTTGGTAGCATCATTTTAAGTTTGTTTGTTTGTTTGTTTTGATTTTTCAAGACAGGGTTTCTCTGTGTAGCTTTGTGCCTTTCCTGGAACTCGCTTTGGAGACCAGG